AGGGTTTCCCAGGCTGTAATATTTATGGCAGCAGATTGCCAGGTCTTTTCTCCCATGGAGACACTGGTTGGTTTGAACTGCCGACCTTTCAGTTAGCAGCTGAGTGCTTAACCATTGCGCTATCAGAAAGTTTAAAATATTTTAACTTAAGAATTTATTTAAAACCAATCAATATTTTTAAAACAAAAATGGTCAACATATCTTATCTACGTGGACACAGCTTACGTTTAACACAAGTATATAATCTGACATTTGTTACTTTCCTTTGCAGGAGGTGGCTAATATTTATGGATTGAAGGTTATGTGTCAGGCGTTGTGCTGGCCTCTTTTGGTTCATTGACCTCTCATCAAAACTTTTATAGGGGTGTGCTAGGAGACTCTTAGGATAATTCTTCCTCTTGACAATTTGCCTTGTGATAGCCCTTGGTCACTAGAAGGGTATGGTTACTGGTAAACTGGGGCTTTTGTATTTCCTCAAGATAACTGATGTAGATGTTAACAGAGGAAGAAAAGAAGTAATGAGATACTCTCCAATCGTTATATCTTTCACTACAGTCATGAGAATTTTAGTTTGTCATTTTGCAATATCTCTATTAAACACTAAAGGAAGTCTTCCTCTCAGAATCCCAAATGAGAAAGGAAAGTGGTTGGATCTCATCACTGTCAACCATCTTGGGTTCAAAGAAGGTGTGCAGATATCCCTCAGGGGAAGTAGGGACCAAATCTGTCCATGGAACTTGATTGTAGGGAACCATTTTTGTCTGCCTTTTTAAAATTGGGGGGATGGGGTGGGGGGGAGACAGGGTATTTATAGCCAAACATATAAAACATTTCAAGGGAGGAAACTTTAGGAATATAGAGCAGAAAATCCAGTATGAGTGCTTTCTGTTTATTAATGTTATCTTGAATAGAAAATGAAAAGGACTTTGTAGTAGAAAAATCTCTCATAGATATCTGTCTTTTAGGGTTTTTAACCTTTCACTCACAGCCTCACAAACAATGTTAATAATTAATTAAGGACTTGACAAGGAGAATGGAATTTCTCTGGACTTTGGACAAAAATCCCAAAACTGAGATTCTTTAATATCCTCATTTCACACCTGAGAAACCTGATGCTCAGGGAAGTTCAGCTATAAAATTTGAGAGGGAGAGAATTTAGTGCACATGTAACCACATTCTCATTAATTATCACGATGGGATTAAAAGTAGGGAAATAAGCAAAGACTAAAGTTCAGCTTTTTTTTTTCCTATGAAGAAAATATGTGTATTAACTTCTGTATTCCCACATGGCCAAAAGCTCCTGAAAATGAACAGCTGAAAGCGGGTGAACATAGTAATGACTCCGTTGTGCTATGGACCCATTTCTCTATTAAGAAAACTAAAAACTTGGCAGAAAATCATCTCATCTGTTGGGATGGCTTGAGGAATTAAACTTTCTCCATGAGTTTGAATTAATTTCAGTGGAAATCAGGAACTGACTGGATCATAAAGTATCCTTGGCATCAGAAAGAACATATAAGTGGTTTGAACATTTTCCCATTTCACTCAAAATGCCAGCATGTGCATGGGTTTCTTTACTTTAGGCAATGAGAAATGAGTGAAAAGAAAATTGTATCATGGGATGGAAAGACTATAAGAAAAATGGAAATATTTTCAAAATTTGCTAGCCTAAAAGTTAAAAACTTACTCATTGAGGATTCAAATTTGACTAAATGTCAAAATGTACAGTAGCTAAAATTTAGTTGTATTAAAACTAAACCGGGGGAAAAAAACAATTCATAAATATATAGAAAACAATAAGTTGAGAGATTTTATGATTCAGGAAAGGTTATATGTATAGCTGGAAGTCATAAATTCTAACAAGAAAGACAGCTATAACATTAGAGAAATGAGAAAATGAGCAAGATTTGAGTGTAAAAGAAGAGAAGCTGGATGTCTATAAAGTCTCACAATTGTCTTTCTCACAAAATATTTCTGAACCGGAAGTCTGATAGAACAGTTTAATGATTACCCTGGATTGTGAAATAGTCTATAGCCCAGTTAAGCTTGTAATTTTTTTCCTTTTAAACTAAGATCAGTAACCCTTGTGAAATATTCGATTCAGATGCTATTCTTGCTGACAACCCTTCTTCATCTTTGAATTTTTAAATTTTTTTCCATTGTGCTTTAGTTGAAAATTTACAGAGCAAATTCGTTTCTCATTAATACACAAATTGTATTGTGACATTGGTTGCCAACCCCACAATGTGTCAACACTCTCCCCTTCTTGACCTCGGATTCCCCACTTCCATTTGTCTGATTTTCCTATCCATTCCTTCCTTCTTGTCTTTGCTTTGGGCTGATGTGCCCATTTAGTCTCACATACATGGTTGAACTACGTGTGTTATTGTTTGTTTTGTAGGCCTGTCTAATCTTTGGCTGAAGGGTGAACTTCAGGAGTGACTTCAGTACTGAGTAAAAAGGGTGTCCGGGGGCCATACTCTCAGGGTTTCTCCGGTCTCGGTCAGACCAGTAAGGCTTTTCTCAGTTTGAGTTTTTAAAGCTGTTTTAGTGTCCTCTGGAATGCCTGGGTGACACAAATGGTTAAATGCTTGGCTACTAGCTGAAAGGTTGGTGGTTCAAATTCACCCAGAGGTGCTTGGAAGAAAGACCCAGAGATCTGCTTCCAAAAGATCACAGCCATAAAAACTCCGTGGAGCAGTTCTACTCTGTACACATGGGGACACTATGAGTTGGAATCAGCTTCATGACAACTGTGTTTTTTTTTCGGTAGGGCCCTCAGGGTTTTTAAAAAAACACACATCTGAGCGTTCCTGGTTCAGACAATGTGATCTTTGTGGATTTTTGCACTTTAGGAAGTAGGCTCAGATATTTTGAATCACTTTTGGTGGTGGCTGTGACCCTAAAACCACTAGATTCAAATGGTCCGCTGATGGTTCACTTACCACAGCACTGCAACTCAGTGGAATTCAAAAGGACTTCGGGTTGGGGGCATAAATGACAAGAAAGTATATCAACCAAGAATGTTTTTAAAATGAGTTTTGTTTCTGTCAGCTATAAGGGTAACAGATGGGTGAAATCAGAATTTCACTACTTACAATACTGGGGTAGAAAATTTCCCCATGCTACTCCTGTCCTTAGAGACATACACATTTTAAAATACAGACGACTGTTTAAAATATGGGGCAAGAATATTTTATTAGCCAGTTTTGCCTGCCATGTTGTTAGTTGCTGTTGAGTTGATTCTGACTCATGGCAATTGAACATACGAATTTCCACTTAAATTATTTTTTTATGTGACTGCTAGATATTATATTTTTATTATAAATATAACCAATGTGATGTAATGGGAAGGTAACTGGGTTGGCAGTATGAAGATTTAAATTCTCGTCCCTGCTCTGCCATAGTTTTATGCCTTGATTTTTACATCTTTCAAATGAGGATTTGAGACTGGAGTGATTTTTAGTGCTCTTTTCAACCCTAATGTTTGATAACTTAATGAAATATAAATATTAATTTTGAAGTTATTTGGTTTTTAACAACTAGATTGTCCACTTATTAGGCTTTCTAAGTCAACTGGAGTATAATAGTTGTTGATAAACATGCTACCTTTAGATGGTCAGAATCTGTGCTATATTTACTTAAGAAATGGCTAATATGAGGGACTGCTAAGATGTAGAAATAAAGTGTTTTGAACTTGATAATGGTCTGGTTGTGCTTATGTTTATTAACTAATTATTAAGCACCTACTAATAATTGGAGTGGGAATTAGAAGACTTGATTCTGAGATTTTTGGCACATCATTTAATCTCTCTTAGCATTAGTTTCCTCATTTATAAATTGATATCGTTGGACTAGGGAATGATTTGTAATGTTCTATACAGTTCTATGATTCTACACCCCTGAAACCCCTTACACCAATGACAGTGAGTACTAGGTAGGGAAAACGTGGACATATATGGAAAAAATGCCCAAGAATTTAGAGAACTTTTCTATTATCTTTGGTAGGGTCCATTTGGCCATGAATGAATGTATGTGCCTGCATTTTAAATAGGTCAGTTTTTACATATTGATCATCGTTATATATACATGATTCAAAAATGATTTACACTTCTATAGTTTTTTTTAAAGTTTACAAAGGGAATTCAAATACATGACCTCATTTGGTCCTCCTAGCGTCACTGGGGTTAGCTGAGGGGTAGTCCATGATGAGTTTGTGCTATTTGGCTGCAGGAGAGCAGTAGGGAATGACATTGGTCCATCACTGTCTAGGAGGGAGGGAGTGGGACTGCTCTGTTACACTCCGCTCTCCCTACCCTACCTTGTGATATGGAGGAAACCCAGCGTTTTTTTACAAACCAGGGATTAAAGGGGAGATGCCTTAGCTCTAAGTGTATTCCTAGCACTAGCTACAGCCCAGGTGGGGGGCACTCAAGAGATTGCTGGGCTTTATCAGAGGCATTACTGTAATGTGAACAGTGGTAAGGACCTTAGCAATCATAAAGGAACAGGGAAGAACAGTGAAGCAGATGAGACATAGAAAATTGAAAACTTTGTATTATCCCTACTGACTTGGGTTATTTCACGTCTCAAATTTCTCCCATTCTCTTCTGGAACTGACATAGCTGCCTGGTGATACTCCTGATAGTTTTGAGTAAGATGGAAGTTCCAGAGAGACAAACTTAAAAATAGAGACTTGTTCTGGAACTCAGTTTTTAACATAAACTCACTGGATTCAACTGTATTTATCACAAAACATCTAAAAGAACTACATTAAATGAGCAGAGTTATTTAGAGTTAATAGATTAAAACAATTCTAAAAAATAAGCTGCATTTTTGTACCACTGAATTTTGAGTACTGTCTTATTTGTAAAATAAAACGTCAAATATATCAGGGAAAGAAGATAGTGGACTTTACTACTATTACATATCTTTTGTTTTCCAGAAGGGAAACTAAGTTAAATTGTTGGACAGCAAAATGAGTTGAAACTCGGCCTCACCTTGTTCACAGTAGATTCCAGTAGTTCCTAGAGGACAGTAGCAGGTGTATCCATCAGGCGATGAAGCACAGGTTGCTCCTTTGCTACACTGGTGTGGAGGGTCGTGCTCAGGATCACAGGTGGAAACAGTCTCTGTGCAGAATGCTCCTTTCCACCCAGTGGGACAGTCACAGCTGTAGGTTGAGAAAGCAGACAGCATGATTTGAGCATTAGAGCAGAGATGGATATACACTTGTGTATCATCATGATAAGGAACCTTGGTGGTGCAAATGCTTAAGTGCTCAGCTGCTAATCAAAAGGTTGGTGATTCAGACCTACCTAGTGGCTCCACATGAGAAAGACCTGGCAATCTGCCTCCCTAAAAATTACAGCCAGGAAAATCCTATGGGGTAGTTCTACTCTGTACCATATGGGGTTACTATGAGTCCAAAATGACTTGACGGCACACAACAACATCACCATGATATTAACTTAGCAGTTTGGCCTGAGGTTCCAAGATATAAAAGATTTTGCATACCAAAGTTAGCTGTGATTCAAGCTGCCAAGATGCACATTTTTAAAGGGAAGTGCTAATGACTGGTTGTGGAATTACTGGACCCCTTACTCATGGATTATTCCTCAGCCATACCAAGGATTTTAAAAGTTGAGAGAGTGGAGATTGTAAGAAAATTTTATGACAGAATCATTTCTTTGTTCATCGTTAGCCTTTCCCTCACCTCCATACCATCATGGACGGGGAAGGTTGTGCACAGAGTTGCCACATCCTGACCTCAAGTCTAAAGAAAAGGGGTTGTGCAGGACCGCTAGGAGAGCTTGTTATGTGTTCCGTAACATTGGGGGACACACAGGCCTAGCTCCTAGGGCTGCAGAAGGAACCACAAACCCTTCCAGAAGTGAGTCAAATGTATGTGAATTCAAAGGATGAGATGTGGCACGCTTAGTTAGGAATGTCAGCTTGGGAGCGTATAAAAATGGATCTCGTCAAGAGGGTGTCCTGCTAGGTGAGGAGACCTCAGCAGTAAGAGGTAGTCAGTGTATGATGGAGGCAGAAGCTGCGAGGTATTGGAGAACATCCAGTTGGAGCAAAGACCCTGTCTGCATTTAGACAGTGATGTTGGGAGGGGCCTAGTAGAGGAGGTTCTCTGATAGAAAAAAGCAGAACACTCAGTTGAACTTAAATATTAGATAAATAACAAATTGTTTTTCAGTATGTCTTGTGCAATACTTAAATTTCAGATAAGTAATACTTGAGACATACTTACACTAAAAATCGTTTGCTGTTTATCTGAAATTTGACTTTAATTGGCCATCATGTATTTTTGTTTTCTTTCTAAATCTGGCAATCCTACACTAAAGGGCACATGAGAGAAAAATTAGCTTTACACCCTGCCAAACCTAGAGAACACCAAACCACCTGACAATAGTGCTAGTCAAGGAAGCACATTCCAGGGTGAGGGTTGGGGCACAAAGTCAGAAACCTCTAAGTTGTGGAAAGACAAATGCAGCAGAACACACCTGTTCCCAGAAGGCCCGGGCTGGGTCAGGGCAACAGTCTTGAAGAGTGAAACATTGATGTTTTGTTGTTGTTTAGGTGCCACTGAGTTGGTTCCAACTCATAGCGACCCTATACACAACAGAACGAAACATTGCCTGGTTCTACGCCATCCTCACTATTGTTGTTATGCTTGAGCCCATTGTTGTAGCCACCACTCTGTCCATCCATCTCCTTGAGCATTTTCCTCTTTTTCGCTGACCTTCTGTCTTACCAAGTATGATGTCTTTCTCCAGGGACTGGTCCTTCCTGATAACATGTCCAAAGTATGTGAGATGAAGTCTCATCATTCTTGCTTCTAAGCAGCATTCTGGCTGTGCTTCTTCCAAGACAGATTCGTTCGTTCTTTTGGCAATCCATGGTATATTTAATAGTCTTTGCCAACACTGTAATACAAAGGCTACAATTCTTCTTTGGTCTTTCTTATTCATTGCCCAGCTTTCCCATGCAAGCGAGGCGATTGAAAACACTATGGCTTGGGTCAGGCGCACCTTAGTCCTCAAAGTGACATCCTTGCTTTGTAACACTTTAAAGATGTCTTTTGCAGAAGATTTGCCCAGTGCAATGCATCGTTTGATTTTTTGACTGCTGCTTCCATGGGGGTTAATTGTGGATCCAAGTAAAATGAAATCCTTGACAACTTCAATATTTTCTTTGTTTATCATGATGTTGCTTACTGGTCCATTTGTGAGGATTTTTGTTCTCTTTATGTTGAGGTGTAATCCATACTGAAGGCTGTGGTCTTTGATCTTCATCAGTAAGTGCTTCAAATCCTCTTCACTTTCATCAAGGAAGGTTGTCTCATCTGCATATCAAAGGCTGTTAATGAGTCTTCCTCCAATCCTGATGCCATGATCTTCTTCACATCGTCCAGCTTCTCGGATTGTTTGCTTAGCATACAGATTGAATAAGAATGGTGACAGGATACAACCCTAACGCACAACTTTCCTGAATTTAAACCATGCAGTATCTCCTTGTTCTGCTCAAATGACTTCCTTTTGGTCTAAGTACAGGTTCCTCATAAGCACAAGTAAGTGTTCTGAAATTCCCATTCTTCACAATGTTTTCCATAATTTGTTATGATCCACATAGTCGAATGCCTTTGCATAGTCAATAAAACACAGGTAAACATCTTTCTGGTATTCTCTGCTTTCAACTAGAATCCATCTGATATCAACAATGATATCCTTCATTCCACATCCTTTTCTGAATCCAGCTTGAATCTCTGGCAATTCCCTGTCTATGTACTTCTGCTACCACTTTTGAATGATTTTCAGCAAAATTTTACTTGTGTGTGATATTAATGATATTGTTCGATAATTTCCGCATTCGATTGGATCACCTTTCTTTGGAATGGGCACAAATATGGATCTCTTCCAGTCAGTTAGCAAGGTAGCTGTCTTTCAAATTTCTTGGCATAGACGAATGAGCACTTCCAGCGCTGCATCTGTTTGTCAAAAGGTCTCAACTGGTATTCCTTCAATTCCTGGAGCCTTGTTTTTTGCCAATGTCTTCAGTTCAGCTTGGGCTTCTTCCTTCAGTACTATTGGTTCTTGATCATGTGCTACCTCCTGAAATGACTGAACGTCGACCAATTCTTTTTGGTAGAGTGACTTTGCGTATTCCTTCCATCTCTTTTTGAAGCTTCCTGTGTCATTCAGTATTTTGCCCGTAGAATCCTTCACTATTGCAACTTGAGGTTGAATTTTTTCTTCAGTTCTTTCAGCCTGAGAAATGCCTATCATGTTCTTCCCTTTTGGTTTTCTAACTCCAGGTCTTTGCCCTTTGAAATCTTCTGTTCAGCACTTTTACTTCATCATTTCTTCCTTCTGCTATAGCTACTCAATGTTCAAGAGCAAGTTTCAAAGTCTCTTCTGACATCCATTTTGGTCTTTTTTTTCTTTCCTGTTTTTTTAATGACTTTTTGCTTTTTTTAAAAAAAAATTTTTTATTGTACTTTAGATGAAGGTTTACAGAACAAATAGTTTCTCATTAAATAGTCAGTACACATATTGTTTTATGACATTGGTTAACAACCCCAAGACAGTCAACACTCTCCCTTCTCCACCTTGAGGACTTTTTTTTTGGTGAAAATGTACATAACCAAAGTTACACCATTTTGGAAGTTTCTGCATGTACAATACAGTGACATCGATTACATTCTTCCAGTTGTGCTGCTATTCTCACTATCCTTTCCCAAATTATTCCATCACCATTATCTTCAATTCACTGTCCCCTAGGCTTCGCATCAAACCTTTTGAGTTGCTGTTGTCAATTTAATCTCACATAGATAATTCTTTTTTTTTTTGTACCTTAGATGAAGGTTTGCAGAACAAATAGTTTCTCATTAAACAATTAGTACATATATTGCCCTATAACAATGGTTAACAACCCCATGACATGTCAACACAGTCCCTTCTCACCCTTGGGTTCCCTATCACCAGCTTTCCTGTCCCCTGCTGCCTTCTAGTCCTTGTCCCTGGACTGCTGTACCTCATTAGTCCTGTTTTGTGTTATGAGGCTGTCAAATCCCTGGCTGAACAGTGAACTTCGGGAGGGGCTTCATCACTAAGCTAAAACGGTGCCCGGGGGCCATACTCTCGGGGTTTCTCGAGTCTGTCAGGCCAGTAAAGCGGATCTTTTTTTTTTTGTGAGTTAGAATTCTGTTCTACATCCTTTTCCAGCTCTGTCCAGGACCCTCTATTGTGATCCCGGCCAGAGCAGACAGTGGTGGTAGCCAGGCACCATCTAGCTGTACTGGACTCAGTCCGGTGGAGGTCGCGGTAGCTGTGGTCCATTTGTCCTTTGGACTAATCTTTTCCTTGTATCTTGTTTTCTTCATTCTCCCTTGCTCTGAAGGGGTGAGACCAGTGGAGTATCTTAGATGGCTGCTCATAGGCTTTTAAGACCCCAGACACTACTCACCAAGGTAGAATGTAGAACATTGACTTTATAAACTGTGTTATGCCAATTGAGCTAGATGTTCCTCAAGACCATGGTCTCCACAGCCCTCCGCCCAGCAATTGGGTCCCTCAGGAAGTTTGGAAGTGTCTATGGAGTTTCCATGACCCTTCCTTGTACAAGTTGTGCTGGCTTCCCTAGTAATGTGTACTGTCTTACCCTTCTCCAAAGTTATCACTTATCTATTTAGTTCCCCCCAACTCCTCCCATCCCTTGTAACCAACAAAGATTGTTTCTTTTTGTGTGTAAACTTTTACATGAGTTATGCAGTAGAGATCTCATACAATATTTGTCCTTTTGTGATTGACTTATATCACTCAGCATAATGTCCTCCAGTTTTGTTCCTCTTACTCTCCTGTGCTGAGTACCTTTTGTTTCTGGATTTTTTTTTCATTACTTTTGTTTTTGTAGGTTTCGTTTTTACTGAGACTTTATGTTTTCCTTGTTTATTTTGAAGAGTAGGTTTGTTAACTTTCTTTGCGGTTACCATGAAATTTACCCTTATCTTCCTAGATTTGAACCAGTCTATTATTACTTGGTATCTACACCGTTTATTTCCTCTCTTATTGTTCTGATGCTGTTGTCATTTACAGATTAACCTCTCTGGTTCCCTTTTGTAATTCTTTTGGTTTT